CAAAAGACTTTCGGTGTAACGATGGTTTCGATTTTAGGCCCTACTTTATTTAATTTATACATGAACCATGTAGAAAGCAAGGTCCTTAATGAGCCTTTTGTTTCGTACTGAATATGAAATAATTAGGGTACTGGAGGAGATTTAAATGTATTTTCAATGTATTTCTCCTCTTCATATGTGCACACATGTGGTTGTGTGTGTACAGATTTTATTTACATTTTTTATGCAAACGAGGAATATTATTCAATATCGAAATAACTTTGTATATATGTATATACAAAGATATTCGTATATATTTAATTAAGATAGCTTTAATAAATTCACAAACAAATATGTGTTTATTCTTTCTTGTATTTTTCTAATTTTCCATGACGATGGATCAAAAAAATGGGTAAACTATCCATAGTTCCTGTTATGATTTGTTTTGGAAGACTTAAACAAATACTTTCCAACGTATCGGTTATTATCAAGAACTGGGTGTTGTCAGGGTATATATTTGTACCTATACAGTGCTTGTATATATATATCAATATATTTTAGCGATTATATGTAAATATTTGTGAATAATTCGGTTTGTGTTTATATAACCAAACATATATGTATATACATGGGAGAACGATATATATATATATATATATATATATATATATATATATATATATATATATATATATATATTAGTAAATATACACATACATATGCAATCATATATCTAAAATATATAAATATATATACATACATACATACACATACATATATATCTCTATTAAAAAAATTCCAAGAGGATAGAATCCAGGTAGAACTCAATGTCCAGGACAGAGTAAGGATATAATAAAAAGGCTTAAACACTAATATTTCATGGTCATAATTTATTCCATTGGAATCGTAAATACGATCCAATTCATCAGACCTACAAATTCAAAAAGAAAACAGAAAAAACAACTCCGGGAATAAAATATAAAATTTAGTGAGAGTTTATGTATGAGAGTGTGGGACGAATGTTAGAGTAAATGAAAGCTATAGAGAGGGGTAACATTATATATATATATATATATATATATATATATATATATATATATATATATATATATATATGAACAATTTTAAGAAGATGTACGACAACGTTGAACATTTTTCGTTCGTTTAATTCTTTGCGACAACATCGGGCTCAATTAGTTTTTGTTGGTTCGACAGTCGAAATAATTTTTTTTTTAATAATGAAATTTGGGCATATGATTTAGCCGATTTTATTAAGAATAGTTTTATTATTTTTTTCCATGATCTTTGTTATTAAATATCCCATATTGTGATAATAGAAGATCTGTCAAGAATATTGAAACGTTATACGAACCTATAAATTACTGTCGATGAACTAGCAATTAAACCACTTTCTAAAAATTTTCCTCATTAGTGAACAATTTTCACTTTTCACTAGAGTAGCATTTTTATGTCGAAATTGTAGTCAGCCGCGTTCCGGTTAGAAATAATGCGTTTAATATGTTTTTTATATCTCTTTTGTGTTTATATAATATTATATATTTATTCAAATCTCTACAGGTTTCTCCAATGTATTAATTCTGGTATTCAGTACAGGTGATAAAGTATATTTTGTTTTTGGTATTAAGTCTGGTATTGTTTTAGACGACGTAGTTGTGACAATTTTTTTTGTTGCGTTTCTCTATTTTTATGTGTGTTGTGGTAGGATCCACCTAATTTGCATAGTGGAGTACCGACCATATAAATATGGTTGGTACCGGGAAGAGAGGAAGGAATCAAGAGATTCAACCAGAGACTCTGCCCGACTGCGACTCAGTCAACACATTCTCCAGGAACGGTCTTACCAGGAATATACAAAAGACTACATGCAAATATTGTGTACACTTTCTTGTTTCAATACATTTTGTTCTAAGTACATTTTTTGTTGCATTATTATTCCATGCATTAGTCAAGTTTCAACAATGTGCCATGTCCTTTCAGGATGTAGGCGATCATGACTCTCCCCCTCCATCTATCCCTTGCAGCTCTCAACAAGTTCCTTCTTTCTCCTCCAGACCACGTTCTGTTGCCCACCTGCTCAAGTTTGCCAGGTATGTCACGCGCTGCTTTCCTTTGTCTCTCCTTTCTTCTATCCGACCCGTGAGTATCAGATTCTCCAGGCCCTCCTTCCTCATTATTTGTCCCAGGAACTTCAACTGCCTCTTTCTAATGTCAAGTATAAGCCTCCCCCTTGTTTGCATGCTCTCTAAAAATAAATTATTTTCAATTGTAGTTGTGTAGGTAGTTAATGGGTAAAACAATATATTTTTTATGTGTTGGTTTTGTCAGGAGCGGCTATTTTTCTACTTCGGAAAATTTTATGAGCTTTTTGTTTCGCATTGAATATGAAATCGTCAGGATATTGGGGGAGCTTGAAAGTATTTTCATTATATTTCTCTCTTCGTGTAAATATTCAGGGCTTCAAATTCTGAGTGCTCTTAATAGAATGATTATTCCGGTTTTTATTTTGTTGTTATGATGGGAATAGAAATTCATAAGATCATTTGTAGTTGTTGATTTTCAGTGGACACTAAGTTTTAAGCTGCTGTTAACGCAGTGTAGCATGATATCTGGGAAAGGCAAAGTATTGTTTTCTTTTATTTAATGTAAATTCTGTTGTATAGATTTATGATTTTCTTGATTTCAGGCATATATATATATATATATATATATATATATATATATATATATATATATAATAAATATGTATATATATATATATATATATATATATATATATATATATATATATATTTGTTCAGTCTGGGAGTATTTTAGGCTATCGTTATCATTCTCAAAGACTCGCTTTCTTTTGTTCCCTGTCTTTGGCATTGCGTGCGTTTCCACGTGTCCACTTAGTTCGTCTCGTCTTACTTTATATTATTACTGAAATATATTTAATATGTTTATTCTTAAATTTAATATAATTTTATAGATGGTGAGTTATTTTTGTGTCAATGCTTCGAGAAGTTGTAATCGTTTTTTACAGCTTATGTGGTATAGCACTTTTGATTTATTGATAAGGGGTTGTTGTATTTTTTTGTAGCTCAATTAAAGCACATATCCCCAAGGTACATAATGAAAAAAAGTTTCGTTATGCACGTTGGTGACAAGTGCTTTAATTGAGCTATTTTTAGATAATACACGCCAAATGGCTCAATAGTGTGGCAGCTGTGAAATCAATATATTTCTTCTTTTCAGAGAAGCCTTCTCCAAATCTATAAGTGAATTGCGAGCTGAAGTTTTGATTTTTTTTATTGTGACTTCTGATCGTAGTTGCGGAGGTTTTAATTTTTTGTAATAAATGGTGAGTTTAATTTCTTTATTTTTTTGTCGTTAGATGCTCTATAACTGTTTATTATTCTTGTGAGTTCAATCTCTAGACCGGACAGTGAAGACGTGGGTTTGGCGAGGATTAAATGTGCACTACTAAATTAGAACTCGATGAGATATCCCTAGACATTGAACAAAAAAAAAAAAAAAAAAAACGAATGATAAAGATATACCTCCGGATACTGAATAAAGGATTTTGTTGTGGAGGATAACACAAGATCAGCAAACACCTGATGAATGTCAGAAAACACAACGATCAAATCGTTAAACCAATATCAATATAGATGCGGTTAATAGTTTGCATGTAAATAATTGTTGTAGCATACCTACGGACGATAATGGGTATGTATCCATTCACACAAATACAGTAGTAAATACAGTATGTGGGTCTGCAGCTGGAGATTCGTCTCCAGCTGTGCTGGTCAAACTCTCTGCCTCCAGACAAAGAGCATCCCTAGACGAGGCTATGTCGAAGAACAGAGTCTCGGCTCGGGGAAACAGCTACCCTGCCCCGTTTTATACGGGGTCTAAAGAGAATTTTTAAATTCGGCCTTGTGCCACATCAGACCGCATGGTTCGTTTGTTAGATATCCTTCAGTTGGAGATTCGTCTCCAACTTTGCTGATCAAACTCTTTGCCTCCGCGCAGAAAGCATCCCCAGACGAGGCTATGTTGAAAGGCAAGTCTCCTCTTGCGAAACAACTACCCGATCCCGTTTTATACGGAGGTCTACGCGGAATTTTTGACCGACTGTACGGGCTCGGATACACAACATTATATTCGGCTTTGTGCCACATCTGACCATATGGGGCGGTTGGGAGATATCCTGCAGTTGGCGATTCATTGGGGAATTTACTTGACCCACTTTTATAGTTCACTACTTCTTCTACGCGCCACTGGCGAATCTTATATGTGTTGTTCTTGTCCTAAGTATTATCGTTCAATACCAATCTTCGTTTGATTATTCTATTCAGTAACTTTCCCTAGATTACACAGTAATGTAATTACTCAGAATTGGATCAATTTTTTGTATTATTCTGAGATAACATTTCTTCATGCAATGGAACACATGGATGCCGTGTTACTATTAGGAATTAATCTGGGATTCCCAAAGCTCTCTTGAAATGTGATTCTTTCCAAGATTGTTTTAACCTGAGTAAAACTGGTATTTGCAAACTGTCTATATTAAAGAACCAATCTAATCACATCATCCGGTTTTTGTTTAACTAGAATTAAATCACGTATCACGACCGCCCGAATCCGTTAAACAGCGCCTGTTTTTAATAGATTTTTCCTTCTATTTGAAAAAAAAATGATGGAGGAAGCAAATGATATAAATACTGTTTTCTTCTTTGGTTATTTTCAGTTTTGGTTTGTCAAGATGACCTTTTTTTATTTATTTTTTTTCAAATTTGTCTGTGTTTGTGAATTTTTAAAAAGTCATTTACGAACGTCACGGATCAGCAGCGCCGGAGAGACTCGGTAATCGCCATTAAACTTGCAATCATCATCGTTCAAAAGAAAAAAATTAAAGATTTGGAAGAAAAACAATCCAACTCAAGGTTGGCTAAAAAGAAATATGAACATTCAGAATAAGCTACGTACAAAGGTAATGTAGGAATTATATACTTTCATGAACAATTACAATAAAATCTGAAAGAAAGAAAGAAAGAAAGAAAGAAAGAAAGAAAGAGCCGACAAAATTGAAGAAAGCTAGTAATATAAGTAACAGTTAAGAAATGAAAAAGAAAGAAAGGAACATCCAACAAAAAAAAGAAAGGAAGAAAGAAAAATTATAACAAGCAAGAAAAATAAAAAATGAACAAGTGAAAGAAAATAAAAAAATGATCAATCGAAAGAAAGAAAAGAGAATAAACAAGTGGTAGAAAGACAGAAATCAATAGAAGAATGAATGAAGAAAATAATAAATGAAAAAAAGAAAGAAAGAAAGAAAGAAACAAGCAAAGAAATTAAAAAACACAGAAACAAAAAAAATATACAGCGATAGTCAAATTAAGAAAAGAAATAAAGAAAGAAAACAGAAAATAAAAAGAAGAAAGAAAACAGAAAAATAAAAAGGAAAAGAAAGAAAGAAATAACAAGACAATAAAAAGTAAAAAGACGCAAAGAAACCAACAAAGAAAGAAAGAAAGAAAGAAAGAAAGAAAGAAAAAGGAAAGAAAGAAAGCTAAAGAAAAGAACAAACCAATACAAGGGGAGAAAGAAAGAAAGAAAGAAAGAAAGAAAGAAAGAAAGAAAGAAAGAAAGCTAAAGAAAAGAACAAACCAATACAAGGGGAGAAAGAAAGAAAGAAAGAAAGAAAGAAAGAAAGAAAGAAAGAAAGAAAAGAACAAACCAATACAAGGGGAAAAAGAAAGAAAAAAAGAAAAAAAGAAAGAATAGGCCAATAAAAAGTAAAGGGACGCAAACAAAGAAACTAACAAAAGAAATAAAGAAGGAAAGAAAGAAAAAGAAAAGAAGAAACTAGAAAACAAACAAAAGAAAGAAATAAAGAAAGAAAAATGAAAGTACGAAACGAAATGATTGAAAAAGAGAATCTAACTAAAGAAATAACTTAAAAAAAACAAAGAAACACTATTAAGAAATAAGGAAAGATCGAAATGAAGAATGGATAAACAATCATTAGATATTTCCAGTGAAAGGACCGACCAAAGTAATGTTAAAGTTTTTAAAAGCTTTTCCATAAATATGAAGAACAGGCGACGATTTCATAAAAGAACTCGTTCGAGAAAGATGGAAATAAAAGAAGTGGGTAGAGAGGGTCAGGAAAATGGAACAGAAATGACGCAGGTAGATGTTTATTTTTTCAATGGAATTTAAATTCATATTAGAAAAAAAATTGCAGTGCGAAAGAAAAGCACGAGAGAAAGAAAGACAGATTTTTCCATCATTTTCTTTTTTGACAACATTGACAAGAGAAAGCATTTTTATTGTCTTAAATACCCCTGATTATTATTAACATCCAAAAGCACTCTAGAACCTAATGTCTGTCTGCTAATTCTTGATGGGTCTAAAAGCAACAGCGATTTCAATAAGCTGCAAATGGTTAGACCACACATACACACACAACACAAACACGCAACACACTAATGCATCAAATGAATTTTTAAATGACATATAAGATAATAAAGATGTCCATGATGCATAATGACTTTCGTCAGCCATTTACAGAAATAAAAGCAAATAGTTGCTTTAAACGTATATTTTCATTATTATCGCCATATATACATTTAATATATTACTCTATTAGTCCGAGAGTTCATCTCCGAATTAATGAAAGACCAATTTGTTCATTCTTATACGTAAAACCAAATAAATTAAAATTTACGAAACATGGTTTCACATTTAGCTCTTATCAAGTGCAGTCGCATTTCGGAACAATATTTCAAAAGAAGGAATTTATATTATGAAAAAGGATTCTTTTGGGGGCCATCCACCTTCAAGATGTCATAAATCCTGATTCTTCTGTCTCTTGAAGCCATGTTTAATTGCTTACCATCCTGTTTATTCCTTCTGTCTCATCTTTTCATTTCTTCTGTGTTGATGTGTCGTATCAATTAAGGATGCGTAATATTATATCTCCCCACAACTTCCTATCTCTAATAGATCTAAGAAACATTTAACTCTTTACAATCCCTGTTTATGCCTGCACTATCATCCATTTTCTAAATTCAGCTTTTCCAAGATACGAAGTCATCTTGATTTTATTCTCTTGAAACTCACACACACACACGTACGTACACACATACACATACACACACAGCTAGCTAGCTAGCTAGATAGATAGATAGATTCACAATACAGGAAAATACTTGTTGACAACAACAATACACCATGAAAATAATAAACAAATATTCCAAATTCCGAGGCCCTCCGTATCAAAATCAACCAACAAACACTATAAAATATTTATTACGAATATTATTAAAGTGTATATAATATTTACTGCCATTTTACATTTCTACTAATTTCCGATATATATATATATATATATATATATATATATATATATATATATATATATATATTCGCAAATGAATTAGTCATCCCTAATACGAGGATTGTTACAACCACCTCCCAAAATTTCGGAGAAATAATCACAAGGAAAAATAAAATAAATAACAATTCAAGTGCCGGAGGTTATCAAACAAAATGCCTACAGTACAATAAAATATACATTGGGGAGACTTCACGTGATCTAAAAATCCGCATCCAGAAACACAAAAGAGATTTGCGTTTAGATAAACAATCAAATTCTCTCGTATTACACCGCAACAGTATAGGACATAACTTTAATTTAAACAATCGCCAGCCTTATCAAAAAAGAATATAATTCTTTAAAGATAAAATATTATGAAAATATATTTATAGCAATATTACCAATTTTAACACATGTTTAAAAAACTACATCGCATCACCATTTTTCTACTAATTCATTATACATGTATCTAACCTATCTCTTCCGAATACATAAAAATCAATATATATATACAAAATACACAGGCGATATACTTTAATGAAAAATTGCTCAAAATATCCTGCAGCGTCTCACTAACCTTTACATTCTTTAACATTCAGAATGTTTTCTTACATTTATTTGAATATTATCGTTTACTATTTTACGCGGGACACGTATCCAATCAAAACATCCTACTGCATCTTACTAACTTTTACAAACTTTAGCGTCGAGAATATTGCCACATATTTGAAGTGATTTTCTTTAGTGATTTTATAAAATATTTATGTCATAATTTTTGAATAGATTATATTTGCTCTACTCTGTATTGAGCACTCTTTTAATAATAGTATTTTTGGTTATTAGAATTTATTCCGTAGACACCAACACTATAAAAATAGCGTCCAGTAGTTTATTTTTCTGGAATTAGGGTAAATAGAACTCCAAAATTCTGTAAACATCCTTCTGCTTTCGACAATTGTTTTTCTCTTTTTGGTTAACACAAAATCAGTCATATTTAGCTAAATCTTTACGGGCGAGTAAAAAAGTCCATCTTATTTAAAACTGACTAAGAAGAGTATATTTAGAATTAGTTCAGCGTTCAATGACTTAGGCGGAGTTAAGAAATTTTGCAAGAGAAATCTTTTGTATTTGATGGAACTCAAATGGAAATTCTTGAATAAGGAATTTGTAACGCAAATATACATTTTGAATATAAAAGTGCTTCTCCGTGAAAGGAAAACGCCTGACATTCTTTGAAAACATGCTACCTCAATACATCGTATTACATACTGTAAAAGATTATGGAAGTAGACTAGGAAATTCTTCCATATTTGGCATATTGTTTAAAGCTTACATTCAGGTATTGTATTATTCCATACAACATGGCTGGTCGAAATTTCTGACAAGGTCAAATTATAGAAAAATTCCACAAATATTTCATTGAATCATAACTGGAATTATTCTTTTAAAAAGGAATAAAACATTACCAGAAAGGCTGCGCTTCATCATAGAAAAGCCATGGAATCACATTAATGCTTGAATAAGCATAAGAATTCAGAGGAAAAAATTAGATTCAACCTAATATGAGTAAATTTTGGAATAGAATCAGATGGAGTAGTAAGAATTTGGAAAATGTCTATCTTAAGATGTTTCGCCGATGCATCGGCATTTTCAGAAAATAATTTTATTTCTACATTAGCGAGATAAAACGTGATTAAAGTAAAGCATATGAAGGATTGTTTTTCTTTTACATTAGAATTGGGATTATAATTAATTCTAACTCAGTTATATTTTTATTTATTTATTCATACATTAATTTATTTTAAGTTTTACGGATCCAACATTTCTTCAGTACTTATTTATGTGATAAACTGAAATACCGCGGATGTATATTAATTCTAAGTGATTCATAGTTCATGGCACTTTCAAAACATCTGAGTTAAAAATCACTTTTCATTAAAATGGCATTTTCCAGAAGAAAATTGTATCATGAAGGTTCCAATACACATATAAAAGCATTGATTTTCTCGATAAATTTTAAGTGTCTTTTATTATCTGGATGTTTACGAAATGTATTAGGGGGGTGCATTGTTTAAATTCTGTTTGATAGATAACCGTTTCTGTTTTACATTCAAAAATTAACAATTAAAAGTTTAATCACTGTAAAAAAAGAACAGAAATTTTCCAGATTGTCTAATATACCCGTTAAAACTGCTTTACTTTTTATTCGAGACGAGCTGACAATCTCAGATTTTTTGTAATTTCTAGTTAGTAATGCCTTACAAAAGCTAAGCGAAGTATTAAGAAACAGGAAAATCTCGTTAGAAACTAACTAAAGAGTAGTGAGCTATTACGTTATATAAGTTCACCTATATGTTTGTGAATGTCGAACAATCTCCTCACAGAGGAAGAGACTTGAAGTGCCAAAATGTACCCCTACAGCAGGATGTTGAGAATACCATGTACCGAACATGTGAACAAAGAGGAAGTTCTAGAGTTAATAGAAACAAAAAGGACATTTGTACTTAACACGAGAAAGACTGAATTGGCATTTGTAGAGGAGACAGGGCTTGGAAAATTTGATACTCACAGGATATATGGAATACAAGATGGACAGAGGAAGGCTTATGCAAATGGATGGCAGAACAAAGTTTAGGAGAGATTATAAAAAGTCAAAATTTAGTAAGAGCAACAAAGGTCAGGAAATTGTAGAGGCCCGTGATTGCCGATGTCCTGGAGAGAGGCAGTACATAGAAGAAGAGACCGATTTCAATGTTGCACTTTTAGAAAACCTTTCAATTCATACTAGACATTGTGACATAATCTCTTAATTACTGATTCTGACTGAAAAGTGAAAATATCAGGGCATCCGGCATTAAACTTGCAAACGATCTGGCGACTTTTGGGCGGGAATTATCGCTCAAAAAGAATCGCTGTAGAGATGGAAATCTTCGTTTATTTTTATTTTATTTTTTAATTCATTTCACTCCAAGAGGGGTTACAGGGGGTGAAACTGAATAAGAAGATTGAAAACTGAAAGGATTGAGGAAAGGATAAAAAAAAAAAAGAACACGCTTCAAGAAGACAGAAGATGGCAATTGACATTACATTTAAATATTTGACGATTGCAGTTATCAGGGAAGCAAGAGATTGGAAGGGATTTCCACGGGTGGGAAGTGCGGAAAAATGTTAGAGTCGAAATAACGGTTGCATCTAGCTAGTTCAGCACTAAAACTGTGAGACCTAATCGCCAATCAAGTAGCACGCTTAATTCGTGTAGTCGGGGCATCAGGAAAAAATGCTCGTCTAAGCAGTTACCCTGAAAATATTTGTTAGGTCATGCAGGGGGAAGCCTCGTCACGTCCGTGAGAAAGTGACCGGAGACGAGATGCCTGGTCAAGACTGATTGTATTGCAGACTCTTCTCTGGATTTTGTCAAAAATCTGGAGCTAACTGGAATAAATATATTTCTATGCAATAATATATAAAATTTACTTTGTGAATATTCATGATTTTCCACTCCCTAAAAGAGCATGGCACAAAAAAGACATAGACAGATATTAAATATTTGATTAAATATTTTCCCCTTTCTTCGGCTAAAGATATTCTGGGGTATTTATATTACAGTGTTCGGGAAATATTTATCAGCGTGAATCCGTTGTTAACTGGTGCAAGAAAAAGATTGTTAATTTTAAAGCCTCCAAAAAGAAACTGCTATCTTTTAGTCGTCTAAAAGAACCACTTTTGCCTTCCATCGACATGACTAATGATAACTTCCAGGAGAGTTACTCACTGTGCCTTCTCGATCTAACGTCTTACGCTGACATGAATGGGAAGACTTATAATTGATTCAAGGACTGAAGAATTTATTTTTATGAATGTCCACGGCCGTTTTATCTATAAGCCAAAATTTAATATTAATTCTCTGAAAATATTTTTGACGCATTTAGGTGGGAGAGTCTGGACA